GTCCCCAAGAACGGGATGAGTTCTGGCACAGCTCTGAGGTGCTTGATTCACGGGCCATTTCCATCTCTCTGGGGAAAGCTGCATGTGAATAGCATTTTGGAGCCTGCCTCTGGTGACGGCATGATTTATATTCCCCAGAGCAGGCAGGATCTGGGCTTCTCGCAGGGTCTCTGGAACAGATGCTGGCAGGGCAGGTGGGTACTATAAGCAGCTACTGCCTGCCTCTGGACTGCTCCCTCCCTCTAGCTCCCCTCTTAGCCCTCACCAGGAGGTATACCTTGCTGCCCTGCGCTTAGGCCAGCTTGTACTGACTTTGACCTTTTGCCTTCACTGTTCTCCATAACCTCCAGACCTCAACCTTCTACCCAACTCCAGGCAAAGGACTAGGGCGAAGTCCAGCCAGGACTCTGGCTAATGGGCAAGGGCCAAGTCAGGGCCTTAGAACAGGAAGAGTTCTCTTTTACCCTCCAGAGTCCAGGAGTAGAAAGGGCCCAGGAAGGATGTCTGAGCCAGAATCCTTAGGCTGAGAGACCCATGAGGGAAGGAGAAATAGAGTGTGTGGCCAAGTGTGGAGGGCAAGACAGGTAGGCAGGGCCAAGGGTCCAGAGCTGGGTACACAGGAGCGGAATGTAAGCAGACTGGGAAGAAAAGACAGGTGGAGCCTTAGCTTTTGGTACCTCCCTAGCTTGCCAGGGCTGGGCAGCTGGTGGGTCTGGAGTGCCCTCCTTTTCTACTCCTACTGCCTTGCCAGCCAGCTCACAGCCCTCTCTCCCTCAAGTTATCCTCTGCTGAGCTATGCCCGCCAGTTTTGTCTGCAAAGCCAATGTGTCTCTATTGTTTCTTCTCCGTTTCAGATCATGGCCATCAGAATAGTGGCTAAAATCGGGGCCGTGAGATTAAATGCTTCAGGGGCTCTTTCTGCACAGCCACTGTTTGTTTATTCACATTCTCATATTTATTCTCTCCACCTCTCTTTCTTTTCTTGCCCTCTCACCCACTCATCCTGTACTGATTGTTCATTCAATCTCTCTCTATACATACAGGGACTACTATGTAATAATTTATTTTTCATGTTGCAGAGATTAGCCTGCCTATCTAGCAGCTTCTCTGGGCTTCTCAAGGGCAGAAGCATTCTTTATTTGAAGTAATCCCAGCCCCAACTGAGTGTCTGGCATGCACTGGTTGCACAGGGATCTTTTGAGGGTTGGTCAGCCTGATGACCAGATGAGTGAGTGCGTGGCACCAAAGCTTATCTTAGTTTTCTGACTTCCTCCCAGGATTTGGTCATAGCAGGATTTTATTTATTTATTTATTATTTATTTATTTATTTTTTTGAAGACGGAGTCTCACTCTGTCACCCAGGCTGGGGTGCAGTGGCACAATCTCGGCTCACGGCAACCTCTGCCTCCTGGGTTCAAGCAATTCTTCCACCTCAGCCTCCCGAGTAGCTGGGATTACAGGTGTCTGCCACCACGCCCCAGCTAATTTTTTGCATTTTATTAGAGAGGAGGTTTAACCATGTTGCCCAGGCTGGTATCAAACTCCTGACCTTGTGATCTGCCCGCCTCAGCCTCCCAAAGTGCTAGGATTACAGGCGTGGGCCACCATGCCTGGCCTTATTTTTTTAATTAACATACAGTATGTATCAGTGAATATCAAAGCAAGAATAAGAAACTGCACAGTAATTTGAACAGAAATAGTTAAAGAATTGTTAACTCTAATACAGAGTGGAGTAAAAGGGATTGGCTAATAAGAAGGAAGAACTCTAAAGAATACTAGTCATACTAGATAGTAAGCACCTTGAAGGCAACTCTAATGTGACTCTTATCTGTTTGCCCTTATGTTCTTACACACGGGCCCCACCCAGTAATCATTGGTGAAGCACTGTGAATTGAATCAGGGCCTATGGTGACCAGATGTGCCATCTCTAGAAAGTCATTCAGAAAAATGGGTGTAAGAGAATGGGTGTACTGTGAGGACTGGTGGCAGGGCACTAGGGACTCCTACTACAGAGATATGAGGCTTGTTTTGTAAATGGGAGATCCCCTTATCTGTGACATCACCTGTTTGTTTTTCCCTTCAGTGTTAATACTTTGAAGGGTCAGGAAATAGGAAACAACCCCATTAAGCAGGAGATTCTGAGGGCTCAGTCTGTGGCTGACAGTAAGAACAGAACTGCAAGATAATGGAGGCTGATACCGGTCCCAGGCAATTCTTCTCCCCTTTGCAAAGCGCTGAATGACAAGCCGATTTCTCAGCTCCAAGCAGGCAGTTGCATTCAGATGATAAATGTGTCCCTGGATAGAGGAGCTTGTTGAGTATTATTTACCAGGGTCTCTGTGAAGGGCCCTCAGCTCCCAAAGGAGCCTTTCAAGCCCTCACCTGCTTGGCTGTACAGCTGACGTCCATGAGGCAGTGAAAGGGAGGAAAGCTCTCCAGCGTGATGGAAGCCTGCTGATTTGTTTCGTTGCTAGATGTTTTCTGGTTTCTCCTAATTCCTATATTCAGCCCTTCCCTGTCGAAGTCAAACCCCAGGAGAGAGAAGCATGGCATCTGTGAGAAGCTATAGCCTTTTAGCGGGAGGGGGAGGGAGGTCAGTGAGTGCCACAGATCTGAGCTTATAAAGAGCAGATTTTCTCTTTCTCCACTCTTTTGCTCTGTCCAGGTCTTCAATGAATACTACTACTACCTAATACCCTTTGGCTTCTCGGAACCCCTGTCACCTTAGATGTAATATAGAGATAATAAGAGCTACCTCACAAAGTTGACATAGAGAGACAATTAAATCTGTGTAAAAATACTTTGCACGTTGTAAAATTCTCTCCAGCATAGGACATGGATTCATTCAGCAATTCCCCACTGCATACCTGCTGCATGCCAGGTACTGTGCTGTGTTTAAACAGCCAGTTCCAGGCTATGAAGGCTGGGAAGAAAAGCAGGCTAATAGCCAGGACTTTACCCGCCATCAGTGCAGTTCTGAGATAATTCCTAGGTGTTTTTAGCTGGGTTCTCAAGAGAAACAGAACCAATAAAAGATACACACACACACACACACACACACACACACACACACGTATATATGTATATATAGTGTGTGTGTGTGTATATATATATAGTGTGTGTGTGTATATATGTATATATAGTGTGTGCGTGTGTGTGTGTGTGTGTGTATATATATATATATATATATATATACAGACACACTAATTAGAGATAAATAGGATGTGCTTGTATTTTTATCTGTTTTTCTAAAGAGATAAAATAAACTTATTATAAGGAATTGGTTGATGTGGTTACGGAGCCTGAGAAGCTCCGGGATCTGCCACGGCAAGCTGGAGACCCAGGAAAGCCAGTGGTGTAAGTTTCAGTTCAAGTCCAAGCCTGAAGGCAAAGATTGATGCCCCCGCTTGGAAACAGGGCAGAGAGAGCAAATTTTCTTTCTCCACTGCTTTGCTATATCGGGCCTTCAGTGGATCAGCAGATGAGGCCCTCTCACACTGGGGAGGGCAGTCTACTTTACTCAGCCCACCAGCTCAAATGGTAATCTAATCTAGAAATACCCTCACAAACATACCCCAAGTAACGTTTAACCCAATATCTGGGCACCCTGCAGCCCAGTCACATTGACATAAATTTAACCATCACACCAGGGTTGGTGTTCACATAGAGCACTCAAGTTTGCATAGCAGCTTTACATGCTGTGTTTCATTTGGCCCCCAGAATGAGCCAGTGAGGAGCTTAGTTCCCGTCTCTGTCACAGGTATCACCAGGCTGGCCATTTGAAGTGGGTGATGTTTGCCTTAAACCCAAATCTCTATGCACCAAGTCTTATTCTTCTCGGTGACAGGAGGCCTGCCCCTTTCCAGAGACCCACCTGCCTAGCACATGAGAGGCTTGTGAGTCTGTCTGCTGCCTGCAGTGCCCTGGTGCCCTCCACTTCTTCACGCTGGTCCTTGGTTAGCAGGAAGGTCTGAAAGTAGTTTTCCTGTGGGCTTAGAATAATCTGTGGGTGAGATATCAGTAAGCATCTCAGCAAAGTCTGAATGTGGCCCTGATGCCTAGGATAGGCGAGGGCTCAACATAGAGCTGAGCCTTTGTGAGCCTCGGTCGGTTGGGAGGTGTGGTGTGGTATGGGGGAGGATGGCTGCAGGTGGGCAGCGCCCCCACAGACACATTTGCCCCAGCCTGGCTGTCTGTGTCTCATCAGAGCATGGTGCATGGCTTTCACATTTAATAAGCCCTTTGCTATTTTAATCATCCTTATGAATCAAGGTACTCCTGGGCATTTCTGTTTACTTAAAACTCATTGTGAGATGTTCTGTTAAAGTCTGTCATTGGGGAAATATGAATCTATTAATTCAACAATGGTCACTTCCTCACGCGGAGCTTGGAAAATGGGCCAAATCAGTGGCAGTTCTCAGGTTTGCATCTCCAGCAGTGCCTGCCCTGCCAGCATCACAGATACTTGCCAGCATGTTTGTCTCCTCGTCTGGAAAATGCTATTTTAGGCTTCACGTCCCCCTTGCCTAGACAGTAACCAGCACAATGTAGTTGCTTAGTTACTGTTTCTGGAATGAACTGGACTACAGCTTGTGGAGGGAGGATTGCCTCACAGCTGCCCTTGCCTCAGCTCTACGCTGGGAAGAGTGCCTGGCCAGCCCATCACAGCTAGCACCTCACCTAGTCTGTCATGCATGTCCTGGACGCTGGGAATGCAATTCTTACCCAGACACAGCTCCTGCCTGTAGAGAGTTCACAGTAGAGCTGGGGGTGACAGGCCATAAACAACGAACCAGAGTTCATCTTGAGAAGCAGTGGACAAAAGCAGCTCTGGAAGAGGGCCTCAGGGACACTGAGGAGGGAGTAGGGGGATGCTGGCATCTGGAGCCATCGGCACTGGAGGATCGTTTGGTGACAGAATGGCATAGGACTTCAGAACCGGCTTCCATAGCTCAGTGCTTCCTTTTTCTGATTGGCTTTTTCTGCGATTTTTCCTGCAGGGCCTGTGCCAGCAGTGAGACGGAGAGTGAAGCAGGAGACATCATGGACCAGCAATTTGAAGAGATGAACAACAAACTCAACTCAGTCACTGACCCCACTGGCTTCCTGCGGATGGTTCGCCGAAATAACCTCTTTAACAGGTGCGTGTGGGGCTCTTCCCGCAGGCCCAGCGCAGGGCAGGGTGCTCTGAGCACAGATAATGTGCTTTCAGTGGATGCTCCTTCCGGCTGGTTAGGCTCCTGGCTCGTGTCGTGCATTTGCAGCAGCAAGCGTGATGCCTCCACAGCCCCATGCCCGTCAGGGCCTCTGCTTCACTGCAGCATCTCCCACTCAAGCGAGAGAACAGTGACAGGCTTGACGTGACAATTCTCATTTGGCTGGGATGGGAGTCCCAGGGGACAGTTGGCTGCTTCTTCACGTAGCCTCAGAGCTGACTTTCCCAACATCAGGCAGAAGCCAGAGTAACTTCACATACTTCTTTGCTAACTTCTGCAAGTAACTCACGGGCCAGGTACCTGCACTGACCTCCTGGCCTGACATTCAGGGAGGTCAGGGAGAGTGGGAATGCTAGTGCTGTTGGAGGGAGAAACTGGGTCTAGGAATGCATTCCTCCAGACCCAGGCTCACCCGTCTGTGCCAAGACCTCACTTCCCTGTTACCTGACCAAATAGGACTTAATGGCTTTAAGATGAATCAGGTTTAAAATTTCCAAGCCAGCACACCCCTTTTTTTCCTCAGGAGTGATACCCGAGCTGGGTCCAGATAAACAGGGCAGGCGATTGGGGTTAAGGGACACCTGTCCCACTGTCATTTGGTTGCCAGGCAGCAACCTGGGAGTACATGTTGATAGACCTCTTTGGAAAGACATCACAGACTCCCTAGTTCCCTGCCACAACCTGAGGGCTTGCCGTTAAAGGGCAGCTGGTTGACCCTGGAGCACAGGAGGGAAGTGACTATGCACTGGGTGGGAGGCAGCCTCTGCTTGGCAGCCCTGCTGTGCAGGGCATTGTGTGCCCTGTCTGTTCCTACTCCAGGCCCTAGTTTCCTCTCATTATTGTGCTGTCAGGGTGACAAATGCGTGTTGACTTTCCCAGGGCTGAGTTGAGTGGGAAGGGAGCCAAGGGCAGGGGATGGAGGAGCTGGCAGCCTGGTTGTAAGGAGGCCAGAACTTCCAGCTAGCTCGCCCCAGCCCCTTCTCCCCAGCACCTTCACAGTTGTCTCTCACTGCTTTTGGTTTCATGCAGGACACAACCAGGTGTGAGGAGGCCTGGGACTGGGCCTCGACTCAGGTTCTTGCCCTGCCAACTTCTCAGCCAGTGAGGCAGGCGACACTTACCTCCGCCGTGTGATGCGAGCTGAGGAGATAAACTATAGAGTGTGAGGAGCTCGGAGCGCAGCCTCAGCCTCTGGCCTTGCCACTCACGAGCTGTAGGACGCTGGGGAGGCAGCTTCACCTGTCAGCCTCAGTGTCATCATCTGTGAAATGGCGATGGCTTCTTACCCTGCAGGCTTCCTGTAATGTGGGAATAAAGGAGCCAACGTATAAATCACACACTGACCGACTTAAGGCATGGAAGGCACTGTACAGTTAGTGGGTTTCTGCTGTTTTGAGTAAAGTTGGAAGAGTAGTGCTGAACTTAAATTCTTAAGATAACGTGGCGGGGTGGTGGGGGGGCACGTTGGCTCACGCCTTCAATCCCAGCACTTTGGGAGGCCAAGGTGGGCAGATCAGGAGGTCAGGAGATCGAAACCATCCTGGCCAATACAGTGAAACCCCATCTCTACTAAAATACAAAAAATTAGCTGGGCGTGGTGGCGCACGCCTGTAGTCCCAGCTACTTGGGAGGCTGAGGCAGGAGAATTGCTTGAACCCAGGAGGTGGAGGTGGCAGTGAGCTGAGATTGTGCCACTGCACTTCAGAGTGAGACTCCATCTCAAAAAAAAAAAAAAAAAGATAACGTGGGAGAGAAACTTTGGAAGGAATGAGACGTCTGTGTGCCTGTGCAGCAGCTGTTGGCCACCTTGGGTTGCAGCGTCGTCCATCCTTCTTCCCTTCCCACCTCAAGTCCTTCACATGAGAGAGCTGCCAAAAGACTGTCAGGAATCCATGATGACCTGCTTGCAGGCACTCAGGCAGTCAGAACCAGTCCCCCAGGACCTCAGCACTATGGAAGAAAAGGGTCAAGCCAGGTATACCTGGGGCCCTAGCTTGTCAACCCTGGGCCTGGGGGTGGTGTGCATTTTGAGTGGTGGAGTCCTCATTTTGAAAAGATGATGTTTTTTTGCTTTTGTTTTTGTTTTTGAGATGGAGTCTCACTCTGTCGTCATGCTGGAGTGCAGTGGTGTGATCTCAGCTCACTGCAACTTCCGTTTTCCAGTTTGAAGCAATTCTCCTGCCTCAGCCTCCCGAGTAGCTGGGACTACAGGCACGCACCACCACGCCCAGCTAATTTTATGTATTTTTAGTAGAGATGGGGTTTCACCATCTTGGCCAGGATGGTCTCTATCTCTTGACCTGGTGATCTGCCTGCCTCGGCCTCCCAAAGTGCTGGGATTACAGGCGTGAGCCACCATGCCTGGCCTGAAAAGATGGTTTTTGTTCTTCTGAGCAGCCCTGCAGTAGCTTCAGTGAGCACAGTACTGTAGATGAATTTGTTGATTCATTGTTGATTCATTGTAGATGAATTTGTTGATTCATCACAACACAATCTTTGCCTCCAGCCAGGCTGAGTACTATGCCCAGCCCTGGTGACTGAGTGGGGAGCTGCAAGGCCCACAGCCCCGGAGCCTGCACCCAGCTCCCTTGGCAAGGTCTGACCCAACCCAGTCCCACCTTCCAAAAAGCAAAGCAGTTGAAAGGGTCTCCGCAGACTCTTCCAGTCCTGACCCTTTAGAGGACACCAAGGGCAGATTGGATGAGGGAGATACCCAGCATTCTTCCCACTTCAGCGCAGTGAGCCCTTAAGGCCCAGGAAAATTTGCAACACTGTATGTTCTCTGGTATGTCTCTCAGAAGCCCAGGAAGGGGGGCTCTGGCCTTCATCCCACAAGAGAGTGGAGCTACTGCTGATGGAACCACAGAGGCCAAGGCATCCTTGTTAGAACAGTGCAAACTTGCCTTGAAGACTTTCAGTGCAGCCTCACATGTTATAGCTGAGCACACATAGGCCAGAGAGGAGGGAGACCTGCCCACGAGCAGGTGCCAAAACACGCCTCACAGCTTCCCTGCCAGCCTGTCCCGGCCCCGCTGTGGGCTCCCAGGCCTCCCTCTCTGCCCCATGTATGGCCAGGGATCTGGGCTAAGAGGTGCACTGGCTTGTGACTGAACAGAACGGCTAGAAGTGGCTTTTCTGCAGATTGCTGATAGTGGTTAGCATTTGCAGAGTACTCGTACCCTAGAGCCAACAGAGGTGATGTGGAAGCAGCCATGTGTGTAGGGCCTGTGTGCTGGAGCAGTAAGGGCTCCCCTCTCCAGGGACTCTCTAGCTCAGTGATTTTATGGATTCCTTGGCCCCTTTGTTCCTGGGTGGTTTGCTGGACTGATTTGGCAATGAGGCCACTGTAGCTAATGCAAGTCAAGTGAGACTTGGCTTTAGGTTTTCCTCCCTTGCCACTCCAGGAGTTGGTCTTTGTTCTGCTGTCATTTTTGAGGTCTCCGCAATTGTAATTTTTCTTCTTGCCTATTGGCAGAAAACACATTTGCATTTTGAACTCAGGGTAGGTACAGCTATTGAATGAAAAACAAAGGCTCTTCTCTTGGCTAGCACCCTGACCTTGGTGTGAGCCCCAGGGGCAGAGCAGCAGCCCTACCCTTTGAGAGTGATGCTGAGGACTGCTAGGCCAGCGCAGGCATGTAAGTGTGTGTGTGTGGGGGGGGGTACTATGGGAATGGATGTATGTATTTGTATGTGCAGGGTTGTGTATGTGTGTGTTTGTGTGTAGTATGTATATGTGGTATGTGTGTATGTGACTGGACCTGGGGCAGTCAGCAGATCTCATTTGCTGTAGAAAAGAGAAGGAAGAACAGGACAGGCTTTTGACTGCACCTTGGATCCCGGACTACAGGGAGTGCCTTGGTATTAAGGTACACCCATCCAGAGTCATTTAGAGCCAGTATTTTCCTGACTTCTGTAGCCACTACTGATGCAACAAGCATCCTGGGTCTTTAAATTTCCATGTTGTGTCTTTGTGGAACACGATGTGGAGAGGGACTTTGTTATTGTCCAGAGAGCAGTGACTAGAGCCAAAAGAGGACAAAGCAGTCTCCTTATTCTAAAGAGAGGTGCGCAGCAGGGCCAGAGCCCACCCTCAGGTCTCTGCAACTTCCCTCCAGTGCCCTGCGACACAGTCCGGGTCTCCCACAGGAGACTGGATAAGGAATCAGCAAGAGAGAACCTCAGCTTGGTTGGGGGTCCTTCCAGAGAATCCCCAGCAAAAACCGGGGTCCTGCTAGATGGGAAAAGAGGCATCTTCATCCCATGGGCCCAGCCTCCATGACTACAGGGCAGGGAGAAAAGAAAGAAAGGAAGGTTCCAGGTGGGAGTGAGCCAGCCACAGTGCTCAGCGTGCCCATACTTAACATGGCACGGGTGTGTGTGTGTCCTGCTGGGTGGATCACATGGGCCCAGCACCTTACTGGTTCCCCGCCCAGGAGGTTGTCTGCTAGACAGGGACCTCAGCCACATGTTACGAAGTGTGCAACCCAGTGGCAGGGTGGAGGGGTTCTGAGGGAGCTGCAGCTGGCTGCCGTGTTGAGGGGTGCAGAGGAAGGCCCTGCAGAGCTTTTCCCTGCCCCTTTCCCCCCTGCCCTCAACACCTGAGGGTCAGGCCCTGAAAGTAGAGAGCATTAGTGCTCCCAGAGCCTGCCCTGCCCTCCAAATCCATGCATGAAAGCCTGGCCTACAGTGCAGGTGGGAGAGAATGCAATGACTGTAATACACAGGAGGATTTCCTGAAAGCTTGGGGAAGAAAGCGTCAGCAGGACAGTGGAGTGAAGAGCCATCTCCGCAAGGCCAGCCTGGCCAGTAAGCTGGGACCTGGCACACATGTGTCCTGCTGTATGTGCATCTACATGGATGTGTAATTGTAATTCTTCTTTTTTTTTCCCCCGGAGACAGAGCCTCACTCTGTCACTCAGGCT